GTATAGAAAATGTATCGGCAAGTGGTATCATATCGCCGGTCAACTCGCTGGGTGTAGCGTCGACGCTTACCGGGTCGGTGGAAACGTTCCCAAAGACGCAGAACGCCAATCTGGCGGAGAAAGACGAGGAGAACCGCGAGGAGAACCGAGACGTTACGAACAATAATTCCATGCAAGTGCCGGAAGTTATGCGAACCCGGGCGTCTTCCACAGGCAGCGTATTGAATACCAGGAGGGATTCCTTGGCGAGAGGGAGCGACGAACATAATCGCACGATGCTGTTCCAGGTACGAAATTATTATTATTATTCATGTTGTAACATGAAATTCGTGTTGAGACAACATTGTTCTAATCTGAACGTGTTCAATTTTAGGTAGGCCGACATGATTTGAGACTAATCAGCCCGGATAGGAAGCAAGTGCTGCTTCACAAACAACTGAGAGACGTGACCAGTTGCGTACAAGGCGTCAAGAATCCAGAACATTTTGGTTTCGTTTGCAAAGAGAATAACGTAGAGTTTTTTATCGGCTATGTATTCAAGTGCCAATCGGAATCGGTTGCGGATGATCTTGTTACCGGTAATAGATAAGTTTGTTGATGCATTTACTTTGATCAAGTGAATTTGATAGTACTTCGTTTTTATCGATTAATCTTATCTATGTGTCGAATATGTATATTCAATAGACGTTTTCCATTGTTTTCTAATCAAGTGTGACTTGATTTCGCAAAAAGCTAATGCGTAGCACAACGTGGAAACGCATTGAGATATAAAAAAAAAAAAAAGCGTCACAATTTAAAATAATGTAAATCAATTGTTTTAGCTATTTCGTTTGTTAGAACGTGCGAAGTTCCAAGAAAGGAACGATATCCCGTGTTTTCATGCGAACACTGCCCGATGTATTGGTATAATAAGCTGTGTCAGGAAATCGAAGGTAATTTACGAGTGTATTTATTCCTTTTTTTCTCCCTTTAATTTACAAGAAAATTGCGGGGCAAGTAAGAAGTTTGCATGTTCTCCATGTTGTGCAGGACAAAACGATAGGAGGACTCAGAATATCATTTTCACACGGATGGAAATACTGCCGGAGGATGAGCAGGAAATTGTCGTTACTAAATATAAAAGTGCCGAAGCTGCTGGAGGCACAGAGACAAGTTTACGCGAGCAAAATCAATTTTTAATGAGGCTATTGCGTGCCCATTGCGAGGCGAAACAGGCCAGGCACGTTCATGACACAGCGGAAAATAGGTAAGATTTCTTTTAACAAACGTCTATCGTACAAGTTTTATTCATAGTGAGATGAATTTCACGCAATCCATAATACATTGGCAGGAGTGAATTTCTTAATCAGTACTTAAGCGTGGGTGTTGGAAGCACAATATTCATGAAAGCAAAGCGCTCGCTTACAAATAGCTTTGACAACCTCATGAAGAGAAAGGGTTCGCGGGACGACCTTGGACTTGGTTCACATTTAAAAGATATGAGCCACCTTAACACTGTGATACAAAAAAGCGGTAGCCAAAGCCCCGATATGTCGCGACAGTCATCTATAACTGATATTTCGCCGGATTCTAATAGGCCCAGATCTCTAAGGGTTTCACCTGAACAGCAATTAACTGTGAACACTGGACCAAAGAGTTCTATGATGGACATGTACGTATAACTTTTCAAAATTATGATATATTGCATATGATTTTTGACAATTATACTTTCGAATAGATTCCTGAAGGTGGGAAATTCGCCAAAAATGTCTCCAACCGAGTCGGATGGAAACAATTCGGTGCATTCAAATAGCTCGTGGAGACAAACTATTTTGAATCGAGTCGTAACTCCTAATAAAGATCATGAGAAGGAAAGCGATAAACCAGGAAATATTAGTATCATTAAATCTCCTCAGGTGACGCCAGCGCGCAGAACAAAACAAGAATTAAGAGAACTTTGGAAGAAGGCAATCAATCAGCAATTGATACTTATACGCATGGAGAAGGAGAATGCGAGACTTAGAGGTATGTAATATGTCATATCTTTTAGTGAATAATAAAAAAGTAGTCCGTTTTACATATAATTATCTAAACATGTACTTGTCTTTAGTTCGCCAAGAGGAAGCGACTGTTAAGAGAATAAAATTAGAATATGATGAACTTAGCAGTTGCGCTCGTGAATTAGTAGAAGTGTGGGACCTTCTTGTAAGTAAGGAGTCAAGGATCTCTACAAAATGTGATAATCAAATGCTTTTACACGCTATTAAACAAGGTAGGTTACCATAAAAATTTAAGCATCAGATTTATTATTTCTGACTCTGAAAATTATACACACACACGTGTGTGTAATATAATTATGTAATGATTTATATCGATGCAGGTGTACCAAAAGGAAAGAGAGGAGAAGTATGGCAATTTTTGGCCGAACAATTTTGTTTGAAGCAACCGCCCATAGACACGCACGATTTTCCTAATTACAATACAGCATACGAGTTACTTTTAAAACAACTCACGTCTCAACAACATGCAATTTTAATAGATTTGGGACGAACATTTCCAAACCATCCGTATTTCAGTTCACCTCTAGGACCTGGACAATTAGCTTTATTCAATTTATTGAAAGCTTACTCGCTTTTGGATCATGAAGTTGGTTATTGTCAAGGTCTTAGTTTCGTGGCTGGGGTCCTTCTTTTACATGTAAGTTTAAATATTTTTTGTAATTAGTATTTTTAACTTTTATTAATGAATATTTTCTTAAAATATATTACATTATATATATTACATATGCATTATTTTCTTAAATATATATTACATTATATGTATTACATTTCTTTTAATACTGTTTTTATCAATAGATGTCAGAAGATCAAGCCTTTTTTCTTCTGCGGCACTTAATGTTCCGAAGAGGCCTAAGGAAATTGTATCTTCCCGACATGGCACCATTGCAATTGTATCTATATCAATTATCCAGGCTGTTGCACGATAGATTATCAACAATTTATAATCATTTCGACAAACATGAAGTTTCTCCTACGCTGTACGCTGCACCATGGTTATTAACTTTATTTGCCAGTCAATTTCCACTTGGTTTTGTCACTAGAGTTTTTGGTAAGTAGGATGAATATAAATTCACGTGTAGATATTTATTTTCACATTCTTATTTTAAAAATATTCATTTTATATATTTATCGCTGTAGATTTACTATTTCTGGAAAGTACTGAGGTACTTTTTAGAGTATCAATGGCATTATTAGAAGAGCACCAAGATCAGTTATTAATGTGCGACAGTTTTGAAGAAATTATGGAATACCTTAAGGTAAGAATAAAAGACTCTTATGGATTAAACTTCCCAAGATAATTATTTATATATTATACTATTATTTCTTAATTCTTTTGTTTAATTGTAGACGCGTGTGCCAGCTGTGGATAAAGAGATTCTGGATCGAGTTATGAAACGCGTATTCTATCCGGATCAGGAGATTACGAAGCAATTGAATGAATACAGAGTGGAATACCAAGTATTGCAGGAAGAAATGATGTCGGTGAAACCGCAAATCGAAAGTCTGGAGAAATTCAAAGTACTGAACAAGCAACTTACGCAAGAAGTCGCTCAACTGAACGAGCAACTTGAAGTAAAATCGTTCAAAGTTAATCTTATTTAAAAGTCATACATTTTTACTATTTCTAAAATAAATTATATTTATAGATTACTATGAGTAACTTTCACCGTCTGGAGACAGCACGATCAGTGCAGCAATCGACCCTGTTGAAACTTGAGTCTCACAACCGTAGTCTTGAAGTTACTGTCGTCACATTGGGCGCGTTCATTCAACAACTCTCCGAAACTCGTCCAGACATTGAATTCCCTGGTGAAATTCGTCGAATAATTGCTCAGCTGAGTCTCGCTGAGAAACGAAGAAACACAACCAGTCGATCGTATCCTCTAAAAGTGATCGAGGATAACATCAAGATGGGAATGATTAAAAGTAACTCCACAGGAAGAGAATCTCACAACTTCTTAAAAAATAACAGCGTAGTGGATCCCCCTTATCCTTTAAAATCCACATTGAGTCAACCAAACTTGGCCACGAAACTCGAGAAAGTCTCGTCGTTTTTCTCGAACTCGCACAATCACATTCAGAAGCAACGAGCACAATTGGCCGCTCTTAGAAACGAGTACACAAGCGAACAGGGTGTCAGAAACGACGAGAACGATCCGAAAACCGTCAATATAGACATTCAGATCACCGACGCGATGAATTCGACCGAAGTGCAGGACATACCGCAGAACGATGATAACCATTTGAAGATCCAACCAATCAACTTAGAAAAATCGGCTTCGCTGCCATTGAACGCGAAGATAAAGCTGAAGTCGTCCAAGTCGGCTTACGAACTGGGATCCGTTAAGAAAGTACCGATTACCAAGTTGGAAGTTACGAATGACGACAATGTGACGAGTTTAACTGGAACGATACACCCATTGGATTCCTGTAGAGACGTAAACTTCAGATATGGCGGAACAACGAAATTAAAGTCGATAAAGCCAACGAGATTTCCAAGTCCAAACGGTCAAGACGAAGGTGTGAGCAAGAACGGCCAGAGCCAGAATATGGAGACATTGAACAGATAACAATTGCTGATGATGCTGCGTTCACGGAAGATACCTTGGAAGATAACTAACTTGAGAAAGGTCTATCCGAAAAGCTAACGGAATGGAACATTGTCCAGGTTTTACCTTTATATTTGTCGTTTTCTCTTATATATCTTATAGTAACTTTTTGATACGACAACGATCGATTTTCATTTTTTAACGCGATATCCGTCGTTCATAAGGAGCAGTTTGTCGATCAAAATATGCTGAAACTCGCACTTTCCTTTTACTTGTACCAATGATTTTAATATCAAGTGATAGAGAACGGAAAACTTATATATAACAAAGTCAATTTATAATATATAAAAACATGGCGAATATTGTGTGCATGTGTGTGCATGGGTGTGTGCGTCAAATATAGTATGTATCACGTATATAGATAAATGAGAAGTTTAGAGAAGGAGAATTAGGAAGAATGAGTACAGCGACTTAATTAATTCTCAAAAATTAATATAATATATTAATTGCTGATAAGAGGTTTGTTTGGAACGACAGTAACACGGAAGATAGTTTCTATTGACTTTTGCTAAATAACAGAATTGTAGATAATCGTAATTTATTGGAGGATATATTATTTAATAAAGTAACGTGTTACTGGCGTAAACTAAATTTCTTACAATCCAGCAAGTAGAAGTCATATCTGTATCAAAATGTACACTAGTTTATTACAAAATTCATAGGAATTCGTTTAACAAATAAATATTAAATTAAAGGAATAAACGTTTGTTCGATTAATGATACATCTTTTGTTGTTAGTATATAGTCTATATATAGCCCGAAATCTTCATTTAGCCATTTAGCAAGTTTATTAATGATGAGATAATCTTTCAAAATTGTTCAAGAATTCCTAGTTAACAATACAAAATATATTGTTGCCTTAGTAATAACATATTTTTGGATAACAATAAAACAATAATTTTTTCATATAATTACAAGAAATTCCTATTAATTTTGTATAAATCGTCGAGAGAAGTGCCAAACTTTTTAGAAAAAGAAAAAAAAATGTTTTTAAACTGTAAACGTCTTGTGTATATTCAAAACATATTTATATAATTAAAGACATAATTTATATAATTATTGTGCACTGTGTAAGATTCGAGGAATCAGCAAGTATTACTATTTTTGCACAAAAGAAAGCCTTGTGATATCAGGGATATATATGTAATATTTAATGTCGTTTAACATTCTTGTAGGAAAAAAGGTCATTTTTTAAATACCGAAATCATAATGCCGATAGTTCGTAAAAATACTCAAAATAATATCAATAGCAAATTCATATTCTTATCGTGTGTTTTGATTAATCTTTCCGTCTATAACAAGGCGATAAATATTTTTCATTTCACAATAACGTATTGTAAAATGAGGAAATACAAAGAATGTTCAGTAAGTTTGTATAGTAACTATTAGGAAGGATAAAGTATTTTGTAGTATTAAAATTTCTATCTTCCAAATAGCGATTTTTACAGATAGGTAACTAGGAATTTTAATCATAAATTGTGATGAACAATTAGGAGATAACGTTAATATATTTATAGCTTTTATGCACATGTTACTGTTAGTATATAGAAACTATTATTCTAATGTCGATATACATAAGTAAGGCAACCGTGGACATTCGTTTGTTCCCCATACTTAATTTTATTGTGATAGCAGTCAATTTATTTGATTAAAGAACTAAGAGGAAATATTTTAGGTATACAGAGAAAGAGAATATCATTATTGGAAAAAAAGGAACTGACAAAATATGAGTTTATACTGTTTTATACACACAGAAAAAAATTATATCCAAAATTTCTCATACAATTTTTTTTTTGGCATATCTGACTTGTAATGTAAATAAAGCTTTATCAAATCTTCTGTAAAATATATATGAATACAATATTTCAGTAGACAAATGTAATGTTCTCTTATGATAAAACTTCAAGTATGAAATAAATAACTATATTACCATAGACATTTGACATTTTTTATACTTATCACATAAGTTTTTCATCAGCATAGTGTTAAAACTGCAATCGTAATCATTTGGGCAGCACTATTGTCCAACTGTTTTTTTACTTTTTAATTATATAGTTTCATAACAAGTTTATTATCTCAAATACATGGCAATATAATCTGTAATTGTATTGCATATAGTAATAATACGTTTGCCAAGGTCACCTTTTATGTAAAATTTTTATGTAAAAATTTACCAATTTTGTATGAAAAAAGTTTGGACAAATTTCAATTTCATTTGAGATGTTCAATTCTTTACCTATTACCTAAGATTTGCAAAAATTCTAAGATTTGTAAAAATTGCAAAAACGCATAAAAAAATGTACGAAATATAAGAACTTTTTTCATAAATTTAACCTTTTAATTACTTTTTTTTTCAAATAAAAATTTGATCAATACAAGGATACTTAGCTGTCAGACTTATGCAATGTGGTAGACAAGGAGCGCAACAGTACGAGATAAGAATAGACTTATACAATGGCGCAGACAAGGAGCGCAACAATATGCGACAAGGCACTGATAGATTTTAGTTCTGCCATTTTACCGCTACGTGGCGCTAGCGGTTCAGTGTTCATATATTGATTAAACTTTCTTTTACAAAAAAAACCAATTGAGGATTAATTTTGCAGTTGTGTCTTCATTTTTAGACTCTAAGTTTTTCTTCCTACGTATCATTTAACCTATAAAATGTAGAAATAAAAATTTGAAATTTCTACTCAATAGATCGAAGCATTCGTTCCATTAATTTCTCGCAAATTATGTTCAAAATTTAAACCAAAATTGTTCGTAAATATGACTAAAAGTATGAGTAATGAATTCATACATAATTTTGGATGAATCTTTCAGTTATTAACAATTATTACGCGTTTTACTGTCACACAGGTTCGACGAGGTGAATTTACTTACGATTTTCATTGTAGCAAATTAATGTATAAACCTTTTGAAATGTAACATAAGAATGATTCTGTAATTATATGGAATTTAATTAAAAATTAAAAATTTGTATAGATAATCAAAAGACATCAAAAAGGAAAAAAAGATTAGTTTCCTTTGTAAATTCACAAGTGTTTTATTATCATGTAAGTCGATTAACAAATCAAAGAAGAAATGTGCATTTACTTTCCGACGACATTAACGTACTGTTCTGTCTGAAAAAGTGTGCCGATAAGAGATTTTTTTCTGCCTCTATGTTATATACAGTTCTTATAGAAATTAACTCTAAGACTTAATGTTTTGACTTCGATATGCTAGTCCTGAAAAAATAGAAAGACAATTCATGAGTTTCATGAAATTAATTTTTTACAGCTGTTATTGTTATATAGCAATATGAAATTCTTTTACGTTTGCATTTGTTTGCTTCCACTGAGTACTATGTATGGCGATTGAGTTTCTTTTTGTTTTGCTTGCAGTAAATTAAGCGTTCCAAGAGGCGTGTCTGTAGATGACATTCGCTTCATTAAAACTTCTTGCTCTGCTTTCTTCATTCGTTTCTCAACCTATAAATCATGAAGTTGCATTCAATCCACATTTCGTAGTTTAAAGAGGATAGAATGTAGAAAACAAATAGGACCTTATTTTTTCCCGGGCCTTTCCCATGGAATTTATGCGAAAGATATCGAAAAGCTTCCTTTGCGCTTAAAACGTGACCATCGTCGTCGATGTATTCCAGCTTGACGTTCGGTTTGAAACCATCTTTCTCTTTGAATTCTGACGTTGGACCATTGAAACGATCCCTTCTACCAAATTTGTCATCATCTCTAGAAAACAGAGAGAAATACAAATAACAATAAGCTTCGTTTAAATGTAAAACTTAATGATAGCTCATGGAATTCGGTGTTTCGAAATTTATGTTACCGCGAACAAAAAATTTATAAATTCCAAGATACATTACATTATGCGATTAAATTAATACGAATCTAAACAAGTCGATATAATTATCGTAATCAATCATATATATTTATAAAAAATATATTTAACTAATTATGTAGTAAATTATTAGTAATCATTCTTCTAAAAAAAAATTAATTTTTATGACATATTTAATAAAACGTATACCCACAAATATTGAAAAAATGTAAGTTTAAACCAACAGCATGTCTAAGTTTTTATCCTAAAGGTTATTTTATTGTCCATATTTGAACATGCATATACGAAATGCAATAATATAAAATTATACTGTCGACGATAGCAGATGAACTTTTTTTTTCTTACTAATTATGTTAATGGCAACTTCGATCCATACTTGGACTTGTCTAGAACGCTCGTACAGACCTCGCTTGGAACAGTAAAATCGCATAATATAAACATACCTCTATCAATCCTACTCTCTTCTCAGGCCTTTCATCATCTCCGACAAAGTAGTTAATCTCTTGTTGCGGTAGAAGATCATCCATTTTCCGAGCACCGAAATCTGAGCTCTCTATTTACGACTGTTAACTAACAGTTTGAAATTCACTAGAAACTCGTCTAACAAGATTCGTTGGTGTGCATTCAATAGAAGAATATTTCTCACACTCGTTTCTCTTTTCAGATATGTGAGAAAGCTTCTTGTATTGAATGATAGTTATGTTCTATACATACCCGTAAGTCTTGTCCTCTATCGAGTAATTTTGAGCCTGTAGATGAGCGAAACGAGACGCAGATGGCCTACTACTATCCTCTTTTTGTAAATAACCTTTACTCATAGCAAGTTTTAAAGCTCCACCAACGCCGTGCCCAAGCGAAGGTTCTGCATCCAAAATCGCAGCTTCCATTGCTACTGGTTCTGACGTACTTTCATCTGTTCGTAAAATATAAAACGATTGCAGAGAATTTTTACAATGTAAAAGATTGTGCTTGGATATTGCAGATACCTAAGTGAACGGTATTCCACGCGCCACGGCCATCATCCTCCTCCTCGTTTGCAGGAGGTTCTTCTTTGACTCCATCCATTTCAAAGTCCTATATTTTTTTATTTTAAAAGAAAAGAGATTTAGATAATACCACTTGAGAAAGAATATAGTAATAAAACATTCAATACCATTAGTTCCTGTCCATTTTCTTCCCTATTCCCGGCAAGACCATAAGTAGGAATGTCTCCTAAGGTTCTGCAAAATTCTGCAGTGGCGTTAAGAACGATATTTCCAGATTGATTTTCTTCAGAGCCCATAGGCTCTTGTTTTATGGTTTCAACAACCTTTTCAATACTTGACGATTGCGATTCCTTCAATTTTTGAGCTTTCTTTAACGCCAATTGTAATTCCAGCTCTTTGTCATCTTCTTCCAATTTTATTCCACTGAGATCTTCAGCGGGAGCTTGAGAATGAAGAAAAATCAATTTAATTTACAATTCGAATTCGAATGTCAAAAGATAATTGTAATTTCTAAAAAATGCACAAAATACCTCCCAAATCATCTACATCTAAAGCGTCATTTTCTTTTACATCTTCAGTTCGTTTGGTTCTTCTACTTCCAAGATCTCGAAGGTAATCATTATCTTCAGGAATTAAGTCTTCCGCTTTTAATTTCTTCCTAATCTTTCTAACCTAAAGTAATAATAATAAATAATAACAAGAATGTTAATTGCACAGTGATCAAAGATGGCATGAAATTTTACCTTTTTCTTCGGCTTTTTAAATTTTGCAAGTTCTTCCTCATTATAATATTCACTAGCCAGTTTCGGCTCTGTTAATTGCAACGATTCTAGTCGTTTGTTTGCTAAACGTTGTTTCACGTAGTCAAGTTTATTCTGTTTGACATCTTTGATATTATTAACACCTAGAGTGAAAGTCTCTTTTTTCGCCCCTTCGATCTCTTCATCATATTTTTCTAAAATCGTTTTCTTTGGAAATCCGAATTCATCGAAGTTATCGTCGTCGTATGCATCATAACCAGGCTTTTTCGTCTTGTTGAAAATATTACGTTGATAACGTTCCTCATCTGTTATATTTACGTTAACGAGCACATCATCGCCTTCTTCTAACACTTCCTGATCCTTCAGTGTTAAGATCAGTGTCTTACCTTCTTCAAATTTGTCCTGTTGAACGTCGTAATGTAAATAATTGAAATAATTATAATAACGTTGATGTAAATACTTACAATATTATGTTCCACTTTGAGGCCTTTTAAATTTTTTTCAGTGTAAGCCGTATTGCGGGCAGCATGAATTTCTTCTTTAACCAAATTTCCAATTCCAAATTCTTCATCTAATTGATCTAACATTTTTGCCTAGTATAGAAATAAGAAAAATCAGAATGTTAACTAAAGATATATATTAATTGTATATTTTACATTTAGAACGTTTCAAAAATACCCTTTCTTCCGCTTTTTTCTTTTCTTCCTCTAAACGCCTGCTTTTGTCGATCCAATTTTTGGTATCATCATCAGAATCACATTCACCTAAACTTTTTACTTTGGCTAAATTAGCCTCGATCAATCTCTTCTGTTTCTGAGTACCAATTTTTTCCTTTAATTTCTGCGTTTTTAATTTTTCATTAACATCAGGAGCAGGCTTGTGATAAAATTCTCCCAAGTCATCCTTAATCTTATTAGGATCATCTTTCGGGCCACTGTCAACCTCTAAAGGTTTCAAACCTAGCTTTGCTCTCAATTTGTTAGTCTCCTCGATAGACAAAGAGGCTTGTGTCCCACCGCCTTTGCTCGGTGATGGACTATGCTGCTTAGAAATTTCAGGAGGTGGAGGCGTTGATGGATGTGAAGACTTAGAGATTTTTGGGGGTGGAGGTGCATTAACTATTTCGACTGAAATGAAATAAACAGCAGTATTAACTGATATTAACTATCGTATGCTCATCATAGTAAATGCTTATGTACCTATGCAAAGTATACATTATTATTCGCTTTGATCCCTTCCAAATTACTTAATCTTGTAACTTGAAATCGATAAATACGTGTCTGCGCAAACGAAACACGACATTACCATTGAAACACGATGGAAAACAACAAAGTTCGATGAGAAGTACTTTAACTTATCTAAAACCGCTCGTAAGTAATTACGAGGTTTTCTAGGCGGTGCGCGCATAGTTAATAGCTCTATTAAAATACGCGATATTGAGAAAAGCAACCGAGCCAACGTACTCGTCTAGTTTAAAAATAATGAATCAGATAATAACCATCGCTATCATAATCCTTGCGCTCTTTTCTTCTGTGCTTTTTGTGATGCCTGTGCTTTTCCGATTTCTCACGTTCAGGCGTATAGCTTCGTGAACGGCTACGATGACGCTTCTTCTTAGCGTCCCGACTTTTCTCGGTTTTATGCCGTTTGTTTGAACCCATTGTTAATTCTTTCAGTTACGCATCAACTGTACGATACACTCTTTCCCTCAGTATCTTCTTTCTAAAAAAAACATGAACTTATTCGCCACTGATCTGTCGATTTTCACTACCGTCCACCATTTTTTCTGATGCGTACTTCAAATGATACTACCGTGCGAAGTGCGACATGCAAATGTTACCAATTTTACTAACTGAAAAATCCTCAGAAAAAATTGCGTATTTGCCTTTCGAATCCGTTCCATTGTTCAAATTTAAATTTTGTGAAATTCCAATGTTATATTTTATATCGATAAATTAGAAAATACATGAATTCTGTCTGTAAAGGATGATTTTTGGCATTAAGGCGATGAAAAAAAAATACACGTACAAAAACATCTATTGAGGTCAGCTTGAACAATTTAAGAAATGCAAATGCCTAGGCTTTAATTTCATTAAACAGAATAAGCAAGGTATAATGATTATAAAAAACGTTTACGATATTTATTATAGAATTTACATACGTACTGATTGTTTAACGAGTAACATCGTTTGCGCATTTTACGCCAGAAATACTAAAACAGATTTTCCTCAAGCCATGTTAAGGCGCATACGCAACAAATATTGACTTGCACAATAAACTAGTAATTTCAATTTCTTCACGATGGTCACGCCGACGATTATAACGCAATCTAACCTTGATATTCTGACGTTTAGAAAGATTTGACTGCGGTGTTACCGTAAAAATGTAATGCGCTGTAAATAATTGATCTTCTTCGTTCTTCTCGCGTAGGAAAAAATAAATACGTTCCGACGGAATGCGCAATGTGACATTTGGTCTAGATTACTTTTGCAATCATTTATTTTTAGCACAAGTATTTCTTAACAGGCGAAGCTTTCTTCTCGTCAATTGTATTATTTTACAAGTACATAAACACAGGTATAACATCTTGTGATATACTCGTGAATATTTAGCCCGATATACTATGCAATCGAAATGACAAATAGAATAATACGATTGTTGAATTTTATGTGAATTTTTCATGCTTTTAGATTATGTACATGACAAATAATTTATTGTGTATTTTAAAAAATCAATATTTAAATATTTATAAGTCACAAAAATTCATAATAATCTCTTACCATTTTAATTTTTAAGCTGTGTTGTGTATTTTAATCATATAGTGTTAAAAGTTTTATAAATGTAATCTCTTATGTCTTTAATATTTAACGATGACGTATTATTTTTGTAAGAATTAATTCAGTTCGAAATTTATAATTGTATAATTGCTATAGTTGCTATATATGTTTTTCTTTTGATATACTGTATAGTAATATTTTTAAGAAGATCTTTATTTAGCAGAATTTAATGTAATGTTTTATATTTTTCAGGTAGTATTAAAATTACCAATAGTCATACATATATAATGATTGCAGAAATAGGCACAGAAGGCTTTCAGCCAATGACAAGTTTTACCGAGGAAAGTCTATTTAAATTACAATGTTTGATCAAAGCAACAGAGATACAACACAGTACACAGTGTGAATATGGAAAGAAATTGTTTCTAGCGCTTGTGACAGGAAATGCCGAAATTTTTTTATATTATAAGAAAGACTCAGTATCTAGTGCAGTGATTAAAAGAATACCTTGGTTCCAAGGATCTCACAAGCAAATCTCTGCTTTATGTTTTAACTTTATGGGATCATGGTTGCTCTCTACAAGTGTTGATGGATCTGTATATATAATCCCTGCTCTATACTTTGTAGATGAAAATTGTGAAAAGGATAGAAGATGGACTAGTGATGATATAACTTCATTTCCTCCTATTAGTTCGCAATCATCTCATTCAAAGTGCATATCATAATTAGACTTTTACATATGGAACATAATCATGATTTAATATTTCGCTCATTATATTTTCATAATTTAAAACTTTTAGGCCTACTGCAATTGTATGGTGGCAAAGTACGATAATACCTGCTGAGATTGGTATTATTGGGACTGAATATGGAGAGATTATATTTATAAATCTTGAAACTGGCCACCAAACAAATGTTACACAAATCAAGGGCAATATTGCCAGTTTGCACATTTGTCGTGATCAAAGTAATGATATTGTATCTCTTCTAATAACAAATCAATCCAGAAGACAGTGGAGATTACTTTTGGAACAGCGTACATATAGTTGTTTGCAGCACTTAGAGAATGGAGAATCATACAATGCGTTGCATACAAATGATAACATGTATGATAATACTAGAATATTTGCTTCTACTAGATCTAGATTGCAAGGACTCAAGCAGTTGTCTGTGGACAAACTTGCAATTCTTAGACAAAAATTGATAGAAACGAAAAGTCAGACATTAGGAGAAAATTTACAATATCATGGTTTGTATATGCATATATATATATAATTCCACAATAAAAAATTATAAAATTTTATAGATCATTAATCAGATTCTTTTATTAATTTTACAGACATTACAAGTAATCGAAATATTCAAAATACAAGTATTAATTCTGATTCTTCTACAGAAGTAAATCAGAATCAGATAACACCAGAAGCAATGTCAAAAGAGGTATTTCTGATGTCTCAGTTCGATAGGGATGGACAACAATTGTATACATGTTATCATTCTATTACAAATCAAATATTGGTATAGAAATATTTTATTAATTTTTAATTATCTATGATAACAAATGTGACATATAAACGATTTTGAAATTACAGGTATATGGACCTAATTTTACTACTGTACCTTTATCAGCACATAAAGTATTTGAATCATGTAAAAATGTTTTATTAACTCAACGATTTTTTTTCATTACTGACGTCAGTCAGCGTATGATGTATGTAATATCGGATAGATTATCCGAAACTCGTAAGAATGATAATGGTAAATTCAATCCAGAGTGCATTGTTGGTCACTTTTCTTTGGTGAATAGCAAAGAAGTTATACGTGCTGTATATAGAACCATTGATTGTATGAATAGTGTACCAACGACACATTCTGAAGAAATTAGAAATAAATACACGTTACCAAAGGCAGTAAAAGATATTAAAATTGAATTACCTCATGTGGATACTTGTTTAATTGTAACAAATCATTCTGTATATAAAATTGTTTTAAGGTCAGTGTTATATTTTTATCACATCTTATTAATTTTATGAAAATTTACGATTATATCGTTTCGTTCGCAGAAAATCAATATTATCAATTTTTATGGAATTAGTATTAAAAAATAATGATCTTGAGAAAGCGACAAAATTGGCTATAGTATTCGGCATTAATGCACAACAATTATTAGAACAAGCTGGTGATATACTTTTGACTAACAAAGAATTTCCACGTGCTGTGGCTTGCTATAAATTGTCAAAAGTAAGTAGATGTAAAGAAGATGTTAACATTGTTTTCTTATTTAAATTTATATTTAATTATTCTTTTTTCAGTGTAGAATAATGAAAAGTATGTTAAAATTTGCATCTGTTGGTTATACAGCTGATTTATTACGTTGTCTCACACATTGTTTAGCATCCCCTGCTATTAGTGAACTTCCTGTAGCACCAAGGATACATCTTTCTAACTTATGTGTTCTTGCTTTTATTGAACGGACACTTAGAATTTCATCTCAAAAATCCAAGATTATATATAAAGAATTTTTGTAAGAATCTAGCTAAAATTCATTCAGATATGATTTATAAAAAAATTTTGTAGAGAAAATATTTAATAAAAGTTACTTGAATTTTAGGTATTTCTTATCTACAAATTCTTTTTACGATGAATTATTAGCAGTTAATATTGCTGGACAGACGTGTCTTTGGGAAGTGTTGCACCATTTAGCAACACAGAAGGGTCTTTATGGACAAATGCTAGATATTCTTATGAGGACAATACATACTTTCAGCATAAGCAATTTTCAGCCAACACCATGTAATGTATAATTATAATTATCACATCAAGCTGAAATATTTATAAAACGCTTGTTTTATTTCAGATGGTTTGTTGATATGTATCAGTGAACCAAGTCTAATGCAAGCAATGTTAGTGTATCCTGAGTTAGCTAGAAGTCATATGTCATTTATTCTTGATAATCTTCAAGACTCCCAAATTTTTGTACTTCAAGTAAGATTTAGATTGCATTTATAATATAATAATAGAAGTAACTTAATATTTATATATTATACTATTTTATACTAATTTATATTACACTAAATATCTTTTAGAGATTAGTAACATTATACGATCCAACGAATCCAGTGATAAGACCTAGAGTAATGCGATGCCGGTTACGCAATAGAACAACTTCGCATAGTTCTCAATCTAGTCAATGTGATTCTATAGATCTCGTGGAAAATGTATGTATTATTGATTTACTAATTAATAGTTAATTTATTCATTCATATAATTGACATGTATTTTTATTTCTTATGTAGGATGAGGCTGATACACTGATAGAAGAAATCATAGAAACTTTTTTACTAATTTTACTGACTTTGATTTATAAAAGATCTATTTTACATCAAGAATCTATTACATGTAACATTGAATTGTTAGAGCTTAAAAAGGTAACTATCATAGAAATTGCTTATCAGTTTGTATTAATTGATAATCATGTGTTTATATAATTTAAGGATCATAAGAATACTAATTCTGGTGCTGATTTTAAAAGAAGGCTATTATGCGCTGGATTCTCTCATGTTGCCCTTATTAGGAATGGAAATGTTTATACATGGGGAAGTTCTGTGCAAGGCTGTTTAGGTATAATTAAAAATGTATATTTTTATATTTTTTATATGTATTATATTTAAATTAATTATTATTAGGAACTGGTCCATCCGTGTTGAGGTATGGTTCACCTCAAGCTATAACTTTTTTTTTGATCATGGAGGTTGAAGTTCTCAGCGTATCTTGTGGTCACTGTCATACTTTGGCGGTAACTAATAATGGCGTTTATGCATGGGGATCAAGTCAATTCGGTCAATTGGGTGTAGGGAAAATTCTTCAGTGTCCAACTCCTGAATTGATCACTTCTTTAGCTCAAGAAGTCATTGTTGATGCAGTAGCTGGACAGTATCATTCAGTAGCATTGACTGCGGATGGCAGAGTCTTTACATGGGGTTGGGGTGTTCATGGTCAATTAGGTCATGGTAATACGGACAAAAAAATGATTCCTACGTTAGTTACGTCTCTACTTGGTACAGTTATACGTTACATTAGTGCTGGCCATGCACATACATTAGCTCTTTCAACGGAGGGTATTGTATATGCGTTTGGTTGTAATATTTTTGGGCAATTAGGTGTGGGCAATAATGTTAAGAGTTCAGTGCCAATGAAAGTTTCGTTATCAGAAAGAATATCTCTTATTGCCACTGGATATTTCCATAATGTAAGTAAAAAAATTTATTGAATCATGGATATACTTATTATATCAAAGTAAATAAGAAAGTATTACATATTTGCTAATAACATTATCTTTTATTAGCTTGCTGTTAGTTATACAAATAAATTGTACATATGGGGAGCTAGTCCCCAAGTTCTTCGATTACAAGCACAAAGTCAGAAGCGGACTCGAATATTGGAACAACGAGACTTGAAACAGTTTGATAATATTGACGAATTTGAAAAAATCACGGATTCCACGAACATGAATGACATTAACGAAGAAGTCTTAGAAAGTAATGCACAAAATAAGAATGCACAAGCAAAAGCGTGCGGTATCAGTACAGAGTCGCGAAAAAAATTAGATAATATATGCTTAAAAAATGTAAATGTCGGGTCATTAGAAGAAGCTCAAACGCATTTAAAACCAACCATTATAGATACGAGTTTAGTCAAAGGGGATATCATACAGGTCAGTTAAAGCATTCTTTTAAACAAGATTTCCATTTTATCACAGTACATTGTTTTTGGTATTTTTTATTTTAACATATTTTCTATCCTTAAATTTTGTAATATATTTGCCACTTATGATAGATATCAACTGGCTGCCACCATAATGCTCTTATAACGAAGGATGGATCGCTTTATACATGGGGTAGGAATTTGGATGGTCAGATAGGCAATGGTAGCAGACGAGAAGTGCTGATTCCCACGCCATTGTGTTATAATCCTGCTTCAATCTTTGCACAAGTACCTCCAAGGCATAATGCTTACAAACGAGTAGAAGAGGAACAAGAATTAAATGGTGGTATAAAAAATTTTTCGGTAAGCGAGAGAAATGGAAATGTACACGATGAAAGCAAATTAATCCAATCAGAAAGCGAATTGAAGGAAAAAATAAATCCTATAATAAAAACTGTTGGAGTTTACTGCGGATATGATTATACGATTGCGATTCAACCAGGTATTTAATTATATAATATACTGTGTTATCAAATATTAACAAAAGCTTGAAGACAAGTTTTATGTTTATAGTATAAACTTTAACTTCATTATTCTATTATGCTTCTAAGATTTTTGTATTAGTTTATTCTAAGACAAAATGATCGTTTTCGTTGAATAGTCTGCCAGTGGCAGAGTTTTCATTTTTTGCTATATTTTTTCAGGTGGTACAATTTTAGCTTGGGGTAATAATAGTAGAGCACAATTAGGCCGGCTTCCTGCAAAAGATACACGTGACACCGACGATAAGCTTGTATTGATAAAAAAGCGAATTGTACGGCTCCCTCACGCATCGCATGTAGCTTTGGACATGCCTAGTCAAGTTCCTAATATTCCCGCTCCTATTATTTCTTATCAAAGTTACGATGTACCTTCTTTAGCGGGTGTTGTTCGTCCTTTAAGCCTTATCGAAAAATCACCAGGAGAATTGACGCTAAATTACGCATTAGAATATTTCTGTGGTTTATATGATTCATCAAGAATTATTGAAAAGGTTAGTTCTTTTATTATTCTCAAAAGGATTAATTTAACTTTTAGGATAAAGAATGAAATATATATTTTTATAGTAATATCAATATTTCGTATAATTAATAACTTTATATCTATGTTTTTAGTGTATTGAGTTGGGAAATTATCAAGCTTGCTCAAAAATAGCTATGTTGCAACATAATATTTCTGATGCGTTTTTATATCAGTTAAAGATTTTACATGTACTGAGTCTTCAATCTTGCTCAAAAGTGAAGTCTGAAAATTGCGAAAAGACAGATGGGAAGTCTATGGATGAATCTGATTTAAAGAAGTCTTCATCAACACGTCATGTTAGAAAAAACACTGAACTTTTTAACAAACAGGTGGAGGAGAATCTGATCGATTCTGTCAACGATTGCGCCGTCAAAAACAAAATGAAAATTCCTGCGAGCAAATCGTTGAATAGTTTACACACACTTCAACAAGAATTATATACGTTCGATTGTCAGGGTGGCTTAGAAGAAATGTGTAAAGATGTTAAATGTGAAAACGCACCAATGGGAATATTTGAGGCCAGTTTTGATTCTGACAGTGGTTCTGATTCGGAAGAATGGATGGAAAATCTTATTTTCAAAGAAAACCAATTACGAAAGCAAGAGAAAGTAGAAATATCCACTAAAGATAGTTCAGGAGTTTCTACTCCCATAAAGGATATTGTAGATCAGTTGTCTAAAGGCAACGGGGCATTTCCTGAAAAGAAAATTACGCGATCTCGGCAGAATATAACTAATGAAGCTATAAAAGTAATCAAGTTTTTCTTGAATGAAATGGAAAACGAAATGGATACTACCAGATCTAAAATATTACAAGATGCGCTTGAATTCTGGATTGAACACGATTTACCAATGCAGAGTATAGAAAATATATTTTTGGAGCACATCCAATCGATTTTTTATCCCCTTGGATTATTATTATTTTGGTAAATTTATTATATTTATTTGTCTAATATATTTATTTATATCTTATCATATAATCATAACCATAAATATTTTTATAGTCAAGAAATCATGGATAAATATTTAGACATAAATAAAAATAATACCGAAACCAGAAACGTCATTGCAATCAACTATTTTTCTATTAAGTTTTGTCTTCAAGTGTGTTCAATGTTATTACATCATATTGATCAAGGTAAATAATTTGAAATTTTAAAATCTCATATAAAATAGAAATTATATTAAATTATTAAATATTCTTTTTAGGCCAACCTACTCTTGAATTCATTAAGCTGTTATCTTCTTTAACAGCTGATCAATTTGGACCACCATTGACTGGATATCCAGGTTCAAGTGGAAATAATACTTCAAAAGAAATGATGGAAGGAGTTATAAACACCATGTCTTCTAATATTCATGATTCCAAATCGTTTGTACATATTAAGGTAAATTATGAATTTATAATAGATTTATTTCATCAATTGAAATATTCTTTAAATCAATAGTTATTATTGTAAACATTTATTTGGAATTAGGATCCAGATGCAGTATATCGATTTCTCGAAACTGAAGAAGACACAATGATATTCACATGTGGACATCATTTTCCATTAGCCTCATATAAAACTGAAGTAATCCCAATGATGGAAACCGAGTTACTGACATCTGAATCGTTAGTTCTTCCATGTACAGCTCAATACTTAGGAAAAATGTTATCTGAGACTAATAAACCGGAAATATTATGCCCTTTGTGTATACCAAGAGCTCTGGAAACGTTGGTGAAGAAGCATGATGGGTGAGAAGTATGTACCTGAGATTTTATTTTAACAAAAAAGAACAAAAAGATAGAAAAAAAGTTATATACAACTTTTTCTTAAGATCTTAAAAAGACTCTAAAATTATACACATAAAATGAATTTTTAAATTAATTTTAATGAACTACAACACTAAAGCAACAGTGAAAAGTAATTAGCATAAATTAAAATAACAATAGATTTAAATCTACGTTACATACAACATTTGTGTTGTATTCAATAAGTATTATAAAGAACTATAAAAGATTAAAGCTCTCTATATCTTTGAACCATATTTTTTAGATTATCTATACTTATAGGTAATTCTACATAGATAATATTGTTATAATGCACTATATCTTTTATTACTTAAGAACATCTTGTCTTGTCTAATATCAGGAGAATTATTTCACTACGCACATATTCACTGAAATTAGCTATTATGTGTTCATGAATTATCAAGTGATATTTCAATTATATATTACCAAAATGTATTGTGAATTAACAAGAAGTAATATAGTAAAGAAGTAACATTGACATTTTAAGTATGCATATTTAAATTTATAAATCTTATGAAATTAAAAGAAATGTAATAAAATACATTATTTTCAGTTAATATTCAGCATTATATTTTTAAAAAAAGTTAAAGATTCATACGATACAACGATATAACACGAAAAATGACAAACTGAATAGTTTTTTTGTCTTCGTCCCGGAGTGATTTTATATTAAATTATACAAATTTTAGAATTAATATTTTGCAAACATTGCTTATAAAATAATTATGTTATTAATGAATTTTCATTTATGTCGGTTGATATATTCCTTCTATTAGAGGTTATATTTTGCTTATATATATATATACATACAATTTTGCTTTTAAAAATTTTATTTGAAAAGTAATTGCTTATCATGATTCTTTGTATTTTATTTTAATTATAATTTTTAATACAACAAAAAAATTAAGTTATTGGATTGTGAATCATATAAACGGCTATAAAAAAATATGTTATTAGTATATGAAATTTATTAACATTTTCGTGATTAGTGACACAATACTACACATCTTTTTAGAGGACGCTCTTAAATTTTAATGGAAAAGAAAAGAGATAAATATATAACAGAATTGAATGAGTAATGAATTAGTGTTTATAATATTAATATGCACGAAAGTGTTAATATATTTATTAATCAAATATTTGTTACTGTGAAGTTACAATATACAATTGTACAGTAGTTATAGTAACATTATATAATATATAAAGAAAAAAAAAGAAACAAGAAATGGACAACTATTATTTGTGCAATCTTATAAAATTGATGCAAAGTGCTAAGGACTGATAAAAAAATGTATTAATCTAGTCTTCAAAGTATATATCAGAATATATTAGTTGATCTTAGAGATTGAAAAGAATGTCTGATTAATAAAAAAGATATATATTATGTGATTCTTTGTGAACTAACTGATGTTAATTAGATAATTAATGTATCAATATGGTAGATACATAGAGTTGAACTTGTACATAGAACATTGTTCACAAAGAAACTTTTGGTTGAAAATGGAGTAAGTTCATAAACATATTTTGTTGTATTTTTAATGTAGAATTGCATGAGAGTGGAAAATAATACAGGAATGATGTATTTGTGATTGTCAGAGAACTTCTCTATTATAATTTTAACTAATACACATGAAGGTTTTAGAAATTAATCAATATAACTCATGGAATAATTGTTAGAATTCTTTTTATTATCATCATTTAGCTCAAAAATATATTTTTTTCATTAGTGTGACATTGTTGAAATTGTTGCTTTTATATTTTTCTATAGAACATATAAAATTGTCAATAAGGAAATAATCATTTAAGAAACTGCAATATTTTAATTAAAAATAGCATTGAATAACATCTAAATCCTTCTGTTGTAAAATCTATGCATTTTACACGTCTGATATTTTTTTCTATTAATCATTTATTTTAAATTACATAATATATTTCAAAATATATAATATATAGTGTATATTATGTTCTTGATGTATAAGAAAAGTCTTCAACTTACTTCTTGATACTTAACGTACGGGTATAATGTTATTAAAATAATGATCAAGAAATTTAAGCAAATTTCTTAAAGATAATCTAATCTACTCTATGTTACTCTAATCTATACAAAATATAAAGATTATGATTTTTTGCATGTAAATTAAATTATTCTTCATCATAGTAATCAGACTGATAAACAATTTGTTTAAATTTCATCTCAAAATTTCGATTAAGATATTTTAAATTTATATAAAATCATTCTTAAATTTTTAATTGTACATGTATATGACTGCAATAATCTTGTAACATGTATCGGAATGTACAATTTTGAATGTCTTATAAAGTCTTTCACCAATAGTATTTAGACAATTAAAATATTGAATTAATAAATAGAATTAATAGTATAACTTTTCCTCTTTGATTTAAAATAAAATTTATTTAAATATTTTAAAAAATGTTTCACTGTTTAATTATCTTTCAGACAACGAATAACTTAAAAAGAATATGAGGAAATTGATCATTTCTTAAATCTTTTATTTAAAAAAATATATTGAAAATACATATTTTTCTTCTGTCACAAATGTTGAATTACATACTATTATCTCTCACAAAAAGTCTATACCAAGCAATCATAAAAATATTTTTTTACAATAAAAAGACGATATTAAAAAGGAAGAGTATTTGAAGTGAAACATTAAATTGAATGTTTCAGTGAGTATAACAATTGCACCCGACGTTCAAGTAAAAATCGTCGTAATACTATGTTTAGATTTTAATATAATAAAACATTTTAAACAACTTTTTAACGTTTTAACAGTTGGCAGTTTAAACTGAACACGATTTCTGTTCAAATTGAGACTAAATCTGAATCTTAATAGTTTTTAATCTTAGATTCCCTATAATCTTCATAAATCATTTCAGATAAAAAGATATAATTCAACTCAGGAACCAAATGATTCAATTAAAGTTTATTCACGTTACAAGCAAGTAGCTCAAGCTCTTCACGAATAGCTGCAGGTAAATCATTGCCTACTTGCATATCGAAATATTCCCTAAGATGCCTAACTTCTTTCTCCCAGAAAGATTTCGGTAAACTGAACAATTCCTCCATATTTACGTCGTTATTCAAGTTATCTAAATTGAATGACTCTGACTTTGGTAACAGACCTACGGCAGAATCTATCGCGACATCCTCACCGTCAATTCTTCGAAGAATCCAATCCAAAACGCGAGAATTCTCGGCGAACCCTGGCCACAGATATTTGCCATCCGCATTCTTCCTGAACCAGTTCACATGAAATATAGCTGGAAGCTTAGCATTCTTCACTTTGGTCATACTCAACCAATGATTGAGATAGTGCCCGAAATTGTAGCCAAAGAAAGGTCTCATAGCGAACGGATCGTGCATGATTATCTTGTCCTAATAGTTAATTGTTAAACAAATTAATTTCCAAAAATAGAATTAAAATATTGAAGCATGATGAAGAGTTTTTATGAACACAACTAAATGATGAAATCTAAGCAGAGATTTTATTTACCAGTATTGTATTTTAGATATTTTTGCATATGCATTTTATGCATTTCGATATCTTTAAATTTCTCATAAATAAAATCCATAGTAATATAAATCTCTGTAGATGACTCAGGCACTGAATTTTCAGCCACTAGGGACTGCATGACTCAACGTCTGGGCCACCAGTCTCGAATAAATTAATAAAATAATTACAAAATAATTAATGCTTCTTCGGCTAGTCTGTTAAATGATTTTTCTTTGGATTATTACATACCGTGTGTTCTGCTGCAGCGGTAGCTTCAGATCTCATCGAAGCTCCAATGAAAACACCATGCTGCCAATTTCTAGCTTGATATATAAGAGGAATGCCTTCTGGTCTTCGTCCTCCAAAAAGAATAATATCAATGGGAACACCAGCTGGATCTTCCCAAGCAGGATCAATAATAGGGCATTCTTTGATTGGAGTACAGAATCTGGAATTCGGATGTGCTGCTGGTGTCTTGGATCCTCTATTCCACTTCTTGCCTCGCCAGTCGGTGATCTATACAAATATGATTACTGAGAAAATGCAATTGAAAATTCCCTATAAGTACAGAAACATCTGCAGTTAATAATAATAGCGATAATGAACTCCTACTTCAACATCATCGCTGATTTCTTCCTCCATTCCTTCCCAGAAGACTCCACCATCGCTGGTAGCAGCCACGTTGGTGAAAATAGTATTCTTAAAGATAGTTTTCATGGCATTAGGATTGGTAATACTATTGGTTCCGGGAGCTACGCCGAAAAAACCATTTTCTGGGTTTATGGCACGAAGTCTGCCCTCTCGATCGAATCTCATCCAAGCGATGTCATCTCCTACACACTCGATCTTGTACCCTGGTAACGTCGGCTTCAGCATAGCTAGGTTTGTCTTGCCGCATGCACTGGGGAACGCTGCAGTAATGTAACGCTTTCTACCTTTTGGATCTGTGATAGCCAGTATCTAGAAAAGATAACTGATACAGAATCTTTTAGGCGACTGACGCGTTTCCAAATGCCAAATAACGATTAAAAATAGAATTTATTGAAACTACTCTACGAGAAAATAACAGTGAAATTTTCATTACTTCCACTAATATAAAATGATGAATAATAAAACTTGAATAACTTAATAACTTAAAATAGTTGCCTTTAATCTATATTAAAAGTAAATTTTATTATCTAAGACAGTTACCTTTAATCTACGTATATTAATAGTAAAACTTGATATTGATTTTGAAATATCTATAAAAGTACATTTTGATATCTAAGACAATCATCTTGAAATTATGAACTTTTGCATAATGTTATACATACGAGCATATGCTCCGCAAGCCATCCTTCATCTTTAGCAATAGTTGAGCCAATTCTTAGGGCGAAACACTTTTTACCAAGCAAAGAATTTCCACCGTAACCACTGCCATAAGAAACTATCTCATTTTTGTCTGGTCTATGAAGGATGATGGTCCTTTCAGGATCACAGGGCCAGGAAGAATTAATTTCAATTTTTGAGTCGCTTTTTGCAACACCAACAGAATGCAGACACTTGACAAAATCGTCATTGCCAAGCGTTTCTAAGACCTTTTTTCCTATCCTGGTCATTATTCTCATGCAACAAACAACATATGCCGAGTCTGTGATCTCTATTCCAATTTTTGAGAAAGGTGAACCCACTGGACCCATGCTAAAGGGGATGACGTACATCGTTCGATCTGAATGATTAAAATGGAATCATCAGTTTCTTTTATTTGTTACATTAATTGGCATATTGGAGATCAGTATTATTTTGTGATTCGATTATCATTGATAAATTCTTGGATTGCAATTAGAAAAATGAATTTTAAAATAAAAATAGTCTTAAAACCTAACAGAGATATAATTAATAGAGATAATGGTTGAACAATTAAACGTTTTTTTTATTTTTTTTTTTTTTTTT